ATCTACCCTCTTTTTTAACATATCTTGCACTTTAGGGAGGAGGTGCATTTGCTCCTCCAAACCTGTTTTCAAAACTGAGGAAAATAACAAACTCGAGTGACAGCCCCATTCACCCTTGACATTTGTTTGCTAATGGTCAGCTGATGACTATAGCCCAAAGGGGAGAGAGAAAATGACTAAGTCTAGTGCCTTGTTTGCTAGTTTTGAAGTCTTGAAGGAGTGGCTTAGCTTCATGCCCCAATATGAATGAAACAAACACAACAACACAAAAATTCTACACATGAAAAGTTAGGCTCGGTGGGGCATACTTGTAATCCCAGTGTTTGAAGGCTAAGGAAGGAAGATCCAAAATTGACTGGGATGATTCCTGGATTGACTGGAAAACATAGAGACCTTGTTTCAAAAATGAAACCCACATTCACAATCCAAATTTAAATGGTCTCGTGACCTGTTCTCATTTGTTTGTATCCACAGTTTTAACACACATGTGTGTACCCACACATACATTATTTTATTATGCATAATTATTATATGTATTATATATCCCATAACGAGTTATACATATACGTTCATTACATATACATGTAATGTCTTTTCAAGAATAAACGTCACAGGTAAAATCATCAACTCTATTTGTCCCTTCTGGGGCATTAGTCCACATTAGATTTTCAACTAAAAGGTACTGTTTGTCATGTGAGTATAACTTCTTTCTTTGTGTTCTTTGGCGCATCACTGTTTTATGAATTTTCCTGTCCTGGTAGCTAGCCCCTGCTCGGTGCATCTGTGTCATTTTCTCTGCCTTTGGCCACCAGATGGCATTCTGGAAACATTCCCACCACTAGTGTGTTCTGCACCCAAGCTCCTTTGCAGGACTCTCAGCTGCTCCCCTCCCTTCTCTCTGCTCCCTTCCAGTTCATTTAACAGAATGAAGCCCAAAGGGCTTTCCAGAGAACAACTCTGCCTGTTCTTGGTCCAGTTTCCCAACTCTTCCTGCTCAGCTTCTTCAGTGACACAAGAGAACATGGGAAAGCATGCAGGACAAGTCCTGGCACATCACTGCTGTGAGCCTTTCTAAAGTTCCTCAGGGCAGGCATCAAATCCTTATCTGGTGTTCCTCCACATCTGATGAGCCCTGCTCTGTTCCCAGTCCCATCTTCCTCCTTCCCACTTTACCACATGGGTCCTCCTGAAGTATTGCAAGGAGCCAGCTTGCTTACCTCAGAGCCTTTGACCACTCTGCTCCTTCCACCTGCTTTGCCTCTTCCCTATGGCTAACTCTCCTATCCATTGTGATTCAAAAAGCACCATCATGAGGTGCTCCCCTAACACCCCAGGCCTACAGCACTAGGCTCATTCCTTTCATTTCCCCAACCCTGCCTTAGATCACAAGCTCCCTGCTAAGCAACATACCAGGACTGATGAAAGTCAGTGTGGGGTCATTTGGGTGGATTTTGTTGTTGTTGTTGTTGTTTATTGTGGTTTCCTTTGGAGAAGCAGGTTGGTGAAAGAATTTATAAAGACAAGAGAATAGAAGAAACAAAGGCTAATCATTAGGATGATATGAAAGAAAAATGGCAGGCAGATAAATAAAGGAGCATAGTGCTGCTGCTGCTGCATCAATATGAGTCTGGGGACAAGCTTTTATGGGGTCATTGGGACTTTACTGATTGGTTATCTTCCTTCTCATGGCCCATTGAAAGGCTTCTCTCTCTCTCTCATTTTTTTTTTTTGAGCATGGTTTGAACATCTTACGTGTGAGAACATCTTGAAAGCTCAGTCTTCACGTCTACATTCTGTCTGGTCCATTTTGCACATCTGACTTATTTTTGCCTCTCAATGGCCTGTTTTTTGGTTTTCTGTTTTTCTTTTCATTTTCAGCTTGGATCACCTCCACACTCCTCTTAACCCTTGATCTTCTTAAATGGGGTCTTCTCCAGAGCTGTTACATGGGTTGGCTGTCATCAGAAGGTAAGGTGTCCCTATTATGTCCCTGAACTCTGAGCGATCCCTTGGGCTCTCTTTTGGGGTGCAGCAGCAGCTTTTCCACTTTGATCTGAGGTAAAGTAAGCATCATTCCTGGTCAAGGAATCAGAGGAAATAGTGCAGGCGAATAAATGCACACCATCTTCACAATCACATTTGAGACATAAAACCTGGAAGTCACTGAAAGGGAAAACCTTATCCCCCTGGGCTGAGCAGTGTCTTCAGGTCCTGCACTGAAGCCTTAATACACATCATCTCATTTGGCATCACCATAACCTCATGGTACGAGTGGCAGCGTGTTCTCAGAGAGGAACACTGAGGTGCTGAGAGGGAAGACATCTGTGTAATCTCTCAGAGTTTCAGGATCTGGTGTCCCCCAAGCTGTGCCATAGAAGATGGCCCCATACATTCAGCTCTCTTGCTATGGCTTACTCATTAAATGAGATGGCTGTGGAATCTAAGAAGACAGTGGGAAGGCAGGATGTTAGCAAAAGTAAGATTAATAGACTTGGCCAGAGAACCACGCAGACAACCAGGTACATAGAACAAAGAAAGGTTTATTGTCAGGAGAGGGGGGCCGGCAAGACTCCTCACAAGGGAGGCATGAGAAGAAGCACCAGCTATTGTCTGGGGTGACCTATATAACCTAGGAGGTTTAGGAGGGGCTAGAAGGGGCTAGGAGGTGGAGAACCTGGTGTGGGCCAGGGGCTTCATTATGGCGGACTGGGATTTATGGCTGCCATCCAAGTAGTAGATAAGGGTCCTGCAGCTGTCCAGATGTGAAGGTCACTCTAAGGGTCTCTTGTTGCCTTATATGGTGATAGCTGTCCCAGAGAAGTGCCATCCCAAGGTAAAGAGGGCTGAAAGTTGATTATTTACTGCCTTTTCTACATGGGCCTGGTATTGCCTAGAAAGGGGGCAAGCTAAGCTGTGGAGAAGGGAAGGAGAGGACTAAGCTAGAGGAAGGGACTCATTTCGCTAACAGAGGAATTTACATGGCTGTGCCTTGGCCATCTTAGTCCTATAGCAGTGGGCTTCCATCCCAACTAGCCCTGACTGGTGTCACTTGTGTCCAAATGGGGCACCTCTGGTCCCAAGGACTCAGCTACAAATACTCAGACAGGAGAAGTTGACCTTAATTCCTATCACTTCAAGTGCTTGACACATCTCTAGAATCCCCTTGAGGTGGAGTAAAAGACTGGAAAACTATTAAGGGCAATATGTTTAAGAGGAAAATGAAAAACAGCAAGGCTTCTGGTGAAAAACCACAAGGATGCTGGTGCTGGTGGCTCACATCTATAATCCTAGCTACTCAGGAAGGTAAGATTTGAGGATTTTGGTTCAAAGCCAGCCTGAGCAAGAAAGTCTGTAAGACTCTATTTCCAAATGACCAGAAAAAAACCACAAGTGGAACTGTGGCTCCAGTGGTAGAACACCAGCCCCGAGGAAAAAAAAAAAAAACAACTGGAGTTCAGGGCTGGGAAGGTGGCTTAGTGGTAGAGCGCTTGCCTTGCATGCATGAGGCCCTGGGTTCGATTCTTCAGCACCACATAAGCAGAAAAAGCTGGAAGTGGCGCTGTGGCTCAAGTGGTAGAGCGCTAGCCTTGAGCTGAAGAGCTGAGGGACAGTGCCCAGGCCCAGAGTTCAGGCCCACAACCGACAAAAAAAAAACCCAAAAAACAAAAAAAAACTGGAGTTCAAACCCCAAGAATGGAAGAGGAAGAAAGAGAGAGGGAGAGAGAGAGAGAGAGAGAGAGAGAGAGAGAGAGAGGAGAGAAGGAAAGAGAACAAGAGAAAAGAAAAGAAAAGGTAACAGGGCCAATTCAAAGGCCGCCCCAGCAAACTGCTACTTGCCTCCTTGGAGTTCACCTATGTGAGGAGGTGGATGGGAGGAAGAACACACCTGAAAATAGGGGCAGGGTGGAGGGGCAGCAAGGGAGAGCTGTTGTTTGCAGGATTCCACAAACAGAAGTGGGGAGAGACAAGAATTGCAGGAAGGGAGGGAAAGACGGATGAAAGGGAGAGGAAGATGTAGGAGAAGGAAATGCACAGTCTCCTAGACCAAGGAGCAGAGGCTGGGGATTCCCCAGACAGGGACTCAGGCTAGACCAGATGCAGAGAACAATGGACCCCAAGGATGGAGCCAGAAGGGGAGGGGCAGGGGAGCCACACAGTCCTTGAAGTTGGCAAAGGCTACTGCACCCTCCTGGGTCAAGGTGGCCCATATGCTAATGTAAAAGCCAAGACAGCCGCATACAGAACACTCCCCAACACTGGGGTTAAATGCTTATGATTCAGCGTCATTTTATTTCATCCTCTCCATTTCCTGCAGAGAGGGCTGATCCTAGCTCTCACTGAGGAGGTAACGGAGGCAGATTGAGTGACTGGTCCCAGATGACTAGCTAGTAAGTTACCCAGTAAGGATTTGAAGCCAGGTAGTTTAACTCTGATTGCTTTCATTACAGCTGCTTCCCAGTGAGACAAACAGATGTGACCAAAGTAGAGCAAAGACTAAGAGGCAAATAGCATTAAAAAAAAGTAAGAACTAGGAGGAAGAAGAATAGGAGTATGGGGGGGGCGGCAGGAAGAGAGGGGGTGGGAGACAGGGAAGGGGAGAGAGTCTAGGAACCTGACTTGCTTAGAAGGACATCAGTCCATGTGTGGGAAGGCAGAGGTTTAAGTTCTCAGCTCCCAGAGGCTCCCTCCCCTCCAGGGCTTCTCTCTTGGCTGCTTCGCTCTGTGGACAGCACCTTCCCTTCCGGCCTGTCCCTAGAGCCTTGTCCCCCTGAGTAGCAAGCCCCTAGGCCTCACAGGAAATGCTCTTTCCCTAATTGGCATTGAAATTCACAGCCCTCCCTTTTCCTGTAGGTGGGGTTTCCATAGGAAAAAGCTGCTTCTCTGTTTCCCCAGCCTTAACTGTTTAGAAGTCCGATCCCCACATCCTGCTTTACTAGGTCAAGTCTCTCTTGGGCCAGGGCTAGTCTTGTCATTGCAGCTGGTGCTGCTGGGCAGGAAAGCTCTTCTGGCAATTGTAATTCATCGGTACTTAAGACCTCTCAGATCACTTCTAACCAACATGGCCTTGCCTGGGAATTCTGCTTCTTTCACTATCTTCTAACTATGGGACAAGGTTGTGCCAGCACGTCGGGGGACAAGAGAACAGGGCTAATCAAGCCATCCAGGAAACATTGGAGGACTTATTCAGCTTTGGAAGCACTCGATTGGTTCCTGAAACTCACCCACTCTGGTGGTAAGCACGATGTTACTTCTGCAACTTCTGCTGGGGCTCTTGGGGTCAGGTGGGTACTTATTCCTTTCAGGGGATTGTCAAGAGGTGAGCACTCTCACGGTGAAATACCAAGTGATGGAGGAAGTGCCATCTGGCACCGTGATAGGGAGGCTGTCCCAGGAGCTGGGCTGGGATGAGAGGCGTGGGCAGACTGCGGCTGCCTTCCAGGTCTTGCAGCTGCCTAAAGTGCTCCCCATTCAGGTGGATGCTGAGGATGGCTTGCTCAGCACAGGGAGGCGGCTGGATCGGGAGCAGCTATGCCAACAGCGAGATCCTTGCTTGGTTTCCTTTGATGTGCTTGCCGCGGGGGATCTGGCTCTCATCCATGTAGAAATCCACGTGCTGGATATCAATGACCACCAGCCACAGTTTCCCAAAAGCAAACAAGAGCTGGAAATCTCTGAGAGTGCTTCTCTGCACACGCGGATCCCCCTAGACAGAGCTCTTGACCCAGACACTGGCCCAAATAGCCTCCACTCCTATACACTGTCTCCCAGTGATCACTTTGCCCTTGATGTCATTGTGGGGCCTGATGAGACAAAGCATGCAGAACTGGTGGTGGTGAAGGAGCTGGACAGGGAGGTCCACTCATTTTTTGACCTGGTATTGACTGCCTATGATAATGGAAGCCCTCCCAAGTCAGGCACCAGCTTGGTCAAGGTTAATGTCCTGGATTCCAATGACAACAGTCCTGTATTTGCTGAGAGCTCACTGGCACTAGAAATCCAAGAAGACGCTGCCCCTGGCACCCTCCTCATAAACTTGACAGCCACAGACCCTGACCAAGGCCCCAATGGGGAAGTAGAGTTCTTCTTCAGCAAGCACGTGCCCCCAGAGGTGCTACATACCTTCAGTGTAGATACCAAGACTGGCCAGGTCATTCTGCGCCAACCTCTAGACTATGAGAAGAACCCTGCCTATGAAGTGGATGTCCAGGCGAGGGACCTGGGTCCCAATCCCATCCCCGCCCATTGCAAAGTCCTCATCAAAGTACTGGATGTCAATGACAACACCCCAAGCATCCACGTCACGTGGGCCTCCCAGCCATCACTGGTGTCAGAAGCTCTTCCCAAAGACAGTTTCATTGCTCTTGTTTCAGTGGATGACTTAGACTCAGGAAACAATGGTCTGGTCTATTGTTGGCTGAGTCAGGATTTGGGCCACTTTAGGCTGAAAAGGACTAATGGCAACATCTACATGTTGCTAACCAATTCCACACTAGACAGAGAGCAGTGGCCTGAATATACCCTCACTCTGCTAGCCCAAGACCAAGGAGTCCAATCCCTAACAGCCAAGAAACAGCTCAGCATTCAGATCAGTGATGTCAACGACAATGCACCTGTGTTTGAAAAGAGCCGGTATGAGGTCTCCACTCAGGAAAACAATCCACCTTCTCTTCACCTCATCACCATCCAGGCTCATGATGCAGACTTGGGCATTAATGGAAAAGTTTCATATCGCATCCAGGACTCTCCAGTGTCTCACTTCATAGCTATTGATTCTGAAACAGGAGAGGTCACTGTGCAGAGGTCACTGGACTATGAAGAAATGGCCAACTTTGAGTTCTGGGTCATAGCAGAGGACGAGGGGCAACCCCAGCTTGCATCCAGCATCTCTGTGTGGGTCAGCCTCTTGGATGCCAATGATAATGCCCCAGAAGTGATTCAGCCTGTGCTCAGCCATGGAAAAGCCACCCTCTCTGTGCTTGTTAATGCCTCCACGGGTCACCTCCTGGTGCCCATTGAGATTCCTAATGGTGTGGGTCCAGCAGAGACTGGAGCGCAGTCACTGGCCACACACAGCTCTCGGCCATTCCTTTTGGTGACTGTTGTTGCAAGAGACGCAGACTCGGGAACAAATGGAAAGCTCTTGTACCACATTCAACGTGGGAATGAAGGCCACCTCTTTGTCCTCAGCCCTGACCTGGGACAGCTGTTCATCAACGTCACCAACGCCAGCAGCCTCATTGGGAGTGAGAGGGAGCTGGAGATTGTTGTGGAGGACCAGGGCAGCCCCCCCTTGCAGACTCGAGCCTTGTTGAGAGTTGTGTTCATCACCAGTGTAGACCACCTGAGAGACTCTGCCAATGAGCCTAGGATCCTGAGCACATCGGTGCTGACCATGATTTGCCTGGCTGTACTGCTTGCCATCTTTGGTTTGCCCTTAGCTCTGTTCATGTTTATCTGCCGGACGGAGAAGAAAGACAATAGGGCCTACAACTGTCGGGAAGCGGAGTCTACCTACCGCCACCAGCCCAAGAGGCCCCAGAAACACATTCAGAAGGCGGATATCCATCTGGTTCCTGTGCTCAGGGAGCAGGTGAGTGAGGTTGATGAAGTTGGGCAGTCCCACAAAGATGCAGGCAAAGAAGCAATGGTGGAAGCAGGCTGGGACCACTGCCTGCAGGCCCCATTCCATCTCACACCTACCCTGTACAGGACCCTGCGTAACCAGGGCAACCAGGGAGTACAGGCAGAGAGCCAAGAGGTGTTGCAGGATACTGTCAACCTCCTTTTCAATCATCCCAGGCAGAGGAATGCCTCCCGGGAGAACTTGAACCTTCCTGAGTCCCCACCTGCCCCAGGCCAGCCCCGTACCCGACCCCTGAAGGTTCCTGGCAGCCCCATAGGACGGCCGGCTGGAGACCAGAGCTTCGAGGAGGCCTCACTGAGCCCACCAGCATCTTCTGCAACCCTGAGGAGGCAACGGAATCTCAATGGCAAAGTGTCCCCTGAGAAGGAATCGGGCCCCCACCAGATCCTGAGAAGCCTGGTCCGACTGTCTGTGGCTGCCTTTGCGGAGCGAAATCCTGTGGAGGAGCTCACTGTGGATTCTCCACCTGTTCAGGTATCTCAGCTCTAGCCCACCTCTAGGCTGCCACGGATAGCATCAGTACCCTCCCCCCATTGTGTTCCCCACATTCCTTACACTCATTCTTAGGCTCAACTTCCTGGAGTAACAATGGCTTCAGGGACAGCACTAGGGTCAGTAGATGTGAGTTGTGTGACCCTGGGCTAGTACCTTACTGTCTCTGAGCCTTAGTTTCCTTAAAGGTAAAACTGAAGCAATAGTAAGAATATCTGACCCATAGAGTTGTCTTGAGTGTTTGATCTGTTCATACTTATCAGTGACCCACAGGAAAGTCATTCTGCTTCTCTGTTGAAGGTGTCTACCTCCCAAATTTGCTTAAGATAAAATAAGGCAAGTTCAAGGCTAGCAAGATCCTGTCTAAAGAAAAAAAGATAAAATGAGTCATTGTACTAAATCATGTAGAAGAGTGTGTGGCACACAGTGCTGGTCTAACTATCCTTTCTGTAAAGTACTTCTCTGTCCCTTCACTCCACCTGCTCTCATCTCAGCTAGGCAACCTCCCTGTAAAACACGCCAGCCTTGGCATCACTGTCCCCAAGTTCAGGGGCCCTACTTAACATGTCTGAGACCCCAAAGCTTATTGACTAGGACTATAGGATGGGATAGCAGAAACAACCTTAGAAAAGGACAGTTAGGCAGAACAGAGCTCAAATGTCAACACAGCCATTAGGAGCCAGGAGACCTTAAGCAGGTCCTTTAACAACTGAGCCTAACTGTATTTTTATCTACAAAGTGAGGTTACAATAAGAAACTCACCCTGCATCTACTTCCCTGGGGAGGAGGGGTGAAGATTCAATGGGATGATGAATGATGACAAACTGTCTATTGATTGGCTAGACAGCAATGGGGCATCTTAGGGATGATGCCTGACTTTACATCTCTATCTGCTTCTCTGAACTGCAAGTGATTTTGCTGTGTCCATTTACCCACTCGAGGCACATTTCTGTTTGGCTAGATCATCAGTTCGGTTTTCCTGTGGAGCAAGGAGACAGCTTCCCCCTCCTCCTGCTTCACAGGAAGCCACCTGGACATGGCCCAGATGTTCTCCTGCCCCAGGGCTCCCTGTAAACCTGGGGGCTGCCCAGAACCAAATATCCATTCATTCAGCCATCCATTCATTCATCAAATGCCCTTTTGGTAAACATTTCTTACCAAACACTGCTGGCTGCTTGTGGACAGGACAGCAGGAAATATGGATGGCATTACTAGAAGGATGGAAGGAAAGGTGCCCTTTGGAATCAGCTTTAGGATACGAGAATAAAATGTCCAATGCTTGTATCTTCCCAGCTGCACAAAACCCCTGTGGAGTCAGATCTGAGTTCAAGTTCCAGTCCTAATTGTTGAGTAGCCTTGTTGAGACTCAGATTCCACCCCTGTAAAATGAGTGTGATGGGGGCTGGGAATGTGGCTTAGTGGTAGGGTGCTTGCCTAGCATGCATAAAGCCCTGGGTTCCATTCCTCGGTACCACATAAGCAAAATAAAGCCAGAAGAAGCTTAAGTGGTAGAATATTAGCCTTGAGCAAAAGCAGCTCAGGGACAGAGCACAGACCCTGAGTTCACGTCCCACGACTGGTTAAAAAAAAATGAGTATGATGATATCTCCTCCTTTGGGTTACTCTAATAATTGAGTGAGATGATATAACACTAGACCCTTATTATTTCGCACGAATTCTTTTACTAAGTGACTTATATACGTCAGCTCATTTAAACTTCATATCATGTTGTGGGTATTATTATTGTTATCATCATTACTATTATTTTGTAGAACTAGAGGATGAGCCCAGGACCACCCATATACTAAGCAAACATTGAGCTATATCCTCAGACCATTATTCCCTTTTTTACTATTGAGGAAACTAAGATTTAGACTGCTTAAGTAATTCTTCAGGTCCACAAAAATGGGGAAAAGGACAGGAGCAGATTTAGAATGTGAATCTGAGTCTGACTCCAGAATCTTGGCTCTCTCTGTGAAGTGGCCCTGCATGACGACACATAGCACAAGGTCTAGAGAACAGGATGTGTGGGCTGAGTATCACTTGGACAAAGGGCAGCAGATGCCATATGAGTCTGGGCTGGGTAGTGGGATCTGCCTTAATGCAGGTCATGAGGCCCTGACCCACCTAAAGTAGTCACAGGGAAACCCCACCCAGTCCTGGCTACCTCCTCTTCTAGCTTTCCTGTGAAAATGGTACCTCTGAGCCTCTCAGAAACTGGAAGCAGCCTTCCTAGGAGTAACAAGCCAATTTCCTTGCATTTGCAGAGGACTTAAAATCTTTCCAAAGCATTTCATGAATGTGACAAAGCTATGAAGAAGATTAGCCTCACTTTAGAGAAGAGCAATTACAGAACCGAGGTCTGAATAGCTCTAAAGCCTGCCTGATGTTGTCCAACCAAGTAGAAATGATCATAAACTAGAATTCAGCTTCCCAAGATGGCTGCTTTTCCTTCAAGGCCCCATAGGTCTGATTCTGACCTCTCACCTGATCCTGTTTCCCCTTCTCCATGCTTTCTGAAACTCTGCCATCTTCCCAATTTTTCAGTGCCTCTGCCTGAAAATTTTGCCCAGACCCTCCCTCTCTGGCTGAACTTTGGAGCCACTGGGTCTCAGTAGAGGTGCCTGGCAGGTAGTGGGAATTTTTTAAAATGTTTTAAAATATATGAAAGCTGGGTGAAGTGGTACCTGTCTGTAGTTACAGCTACTTGGAAGCTGAAGTAGGATTGCCTGAGTCCAAGAATCTGAGGGCCAGCATGGGCAATATAGCAAAATCCTATCTTAAAAGAAAATAGAGCTGAGTGCCAGTGGCTCATACCTGTAATCCTAGATACTCAGGAGGGTAAGACCTGAGGATTGTGGTTCAAAGCCATCCTGGCAGAAAAATCTCTTAAAAAAAAAAAAAAGAAAAGAAAGAAAGAGAGGCTGGAAGTGGAGCTGTGGCTCAAGTGCTAGAGCACTAGCCTTGAGCACAAAAGTTCAAGGACAGTGCCTAGGCCTTGAATTCAAGCTCCAGGATAGGCACAACACACAC